CAAAATTCTTCTTGTAGAACTCATATTAAAGATGCTGTCATTGTTCAGGGCATGCTTTCACTTTTTCTTTTGAAACACAGCTATCACTGATTTTTTCCATATTGCATTATATGACTCTGAATAAATCCTTAGCATTAAAATATCCCATTTTAACTTACCCTTTTACTACTGATGAAACTGCACAAACCCTACTCAGGGTTCAGCCACCCATATACTCAAAGAAAAAGAAAGCTGACTCTTGGTATGCTCAAATAACTTTTACTAGTTAACACAGAGTTAAGAAGGAGGAAGAGGAAGGGTCTGGGGAGGAGAAGGAGAAGAAGAAAGGCTTTCAAATAATGGACTTCCAAACTTTGAAAATTACTCATCCTTGTGTGTGCAAAGGCCCAGCCACTAAACCAGGCCCAGAGCAGAGCAACTGAGGCCCAAAAGCACTAGAACAAGTCCAGCTCATACTGTCAGGAACCACAAAAAAGGTAGCATGTAACCTACCAGGAGGTCAAGATAATGATTGTCATTGTCTCTACCAAAACACTGAAGCAGCCAGGACCAAGGATGGAAGCTGCCTCTTTATTGTCTCTTCCTTCTCCTTTACTGCACCTCAGTTTGTATACCCACCACTGTCCTTCTGGTTTCCCAGCTGACCCCCATTCAGGAAGTCTGGTTCATGGCACACTGGGAGTTGGTAATCCACAGTTGCTATGTGTAAGTGAAGGCAGGGAAATGGTACCTGTTCCCAGGGCCACCACACTGTATTGATCCTTCCCTTCTCATAGGATATATTCTTTTTTTTTACCGATACAGACTTGGAGACAGGCGCGGTAAAAGGAGTCACCAGAGAGAGAGTGGGGAACAGAACAGGCAGATAGACAAAGTACACTTTTTAGGGGAGCAGCGGGCCCCTCAAAATCACCTCCATGGCTAGGGATCCAACTTGCAGCAAAGCAGCTGCGGCAAGCTTGTAGTGCTACGCTTCCACCACCACTAGGGGGCGCCTCATAGGATATATTCTGTAACATTTACTTTTCTCACCAGCTGGTCTTAACCACTCTCCTCCTGACTGTTCGTACTCCAATCATGCTGAATCTGCAGAGGTTTTTCATTTAATGGTCCCACCTACCACCCACCAATATGTAATAGGTTTATTAGGGGAAGGGACAGAATAGTAAAAGATAGTTGCAGAGACACAAGGGGCAGGAAGATCTGCTCTGAAAGGGACAGGTTTACTGAGAGGCCTGCATGGGTGCAGGTGGGCAGCCTTGAGGAGAGCTGCCTCTGCTGAGAGGTCAGTGAAGAAAAGCCCCGTCAGGTGCAGGTCACATGCAGGCAGAAGGCTGCTGCCCTGTGGAAGGAAGGGAAAGTGTAGGAAGGAGCACCTGCATAGGCACAGGTGGGCAGAAAGACTGCAGCCCTCTGAGGGGGCAGTGGTGGGTTTTATCATCCTCTTTCGTGGGGAAGGTCTCATCTTCATGATGGATGATTTGTTTCTTAATCCCCATTTCTTCACCTTCAGGTCTGTGCTCTTGATATTCCTTATAGATGCCTGATAGTTTTTTTTTTTTTAAAGATTTATTTGTGCATACAGAACTGGGGTGCAGGCCAGAGGCTCAGGGGCAGTGAGAGGCTTCACCAGAGACAGAGTGGGGAGCAGAACAGGCAGATCAATGAATTACACTGCTGAGGGGAGCAGCGGGCGGGTCAGGAGAGGTCTGCCACGCCATGTGGTCACCACCTGGGGCAGGCGGGAATCAAACTTATGCAGAAGCGGCTTTAGATTCTCAGTGCTGTGCTTTAACCCGCTGTGCCACCAGGGAGGGCCCTGGTAGTTTTTAATAACTTGATTAATAGTCATGTTAATCCCTCCCACCCCATCTCCTCATCTGAAACAGGTTCCTTACCTTCTGTCATCCTTTCCAGTTTTTCTGTTCTTATCCCCCATCAGTATCAAGGTCACCTTGATACTCCCCACACTATTTTTGTCTTTACTTGCCCCTCTCCCTGACTAGTCTGTGAACTTCTTGAGGACAGGAACCATGTCCTTTCTTTATACCCTAAGAGTCCAACAGTATTAACTTATAATATTGTTCAATAAAGTGTTGGTCAAACAATGGTTTGTAAATGGATGTAAGGCTTGTATAAAAATTTTGTTAATGGGTACTTAAATGAGGTGGATAACCTAAGATGACAAGTTTGGGGGTAGACATTCATTTGGTTGAATCCTCCAGTACAAGAATTACCAGATTATTCAATAAATAATGCTATTGTTACAGGGAGAGGATGCTCTGAACAAACTCCACACAGGTTTTGTGGACATCACCCCTACTTGAGACCAAAGACATCAAGACATGGGAAGCTACAAATCCCATCATCACTGAAAGGAGCATTGCTGGGACCTGAGAGTGGAGTTAAGTAGCCAGGTTTGGTATAAAACCAGACATGTGGGTCTGGGGGCTTTCTTGCTCACTTGGCTCTCTTAGCTTTTTGGTCTCTTGGCCTCTTGGCTCTTGACTTGACTCTTAGCTTTTTGCCGGCTTTCAGCCTACTGTTGGGATTCCAGGTCAGCAGAACTAGTAGGACTCAATTGACCAATTTATCTCCCTCTCTTTCTCCCTGAAATATTTTCTCATTTCTCCTTCTTTTGTAAGTCAACCTTTTATTAACCTTTATGTTGAGTATTATTGTTAGTCACTTTAGGCACATGGGTGAGGACCTTTAATCAGGCAATTCATTTCATATTGAGGGTTGCCCTGTAACACTAAAAGGTGTTAGACAATTTAGTAAGATCATATTCTCTACCTCATATCATAGGGATACACACAAAATATCAGTTAAGTTTAAGATCCATATTATTTTTTTGAAGATAAAATTATAGACAACTGTACGTGCTTGTATCATTTTAGGGTGGTAAATATAACACCAAGGCAAAAATCACGAAGAAAACAGTTTAATGATGGCTCTGAGTTAATGCATCACTTTCTAAATGATATTTTCTATATAGGATCTGGAAGACATGCTTTTTTTTTTTACCTTCTAAATTCTTATCCAATTTTTAAGAGTCTAAATGTCTGCCCTTCCAAGGAGACACATAGAAAAACAAGTGATTATATTAATACAGTACAGATTGTTCATGAAGTTCAGAAACACAGAGAAAACAATGTCTTTCTTTTTATACTTTTTCAGATTAACAATTTCTCATTGCTTTAGAGCTATTTCATTGAGAAGCCGAAGGAAACATTGACCATATTATTTGTAAGTGTAGGTAGTTTAATACATGAAATTAAGTTAGTCCTATGTGTCTGCCTTTTTAGACACTTTATGAAATGTTTTTAACTAAAAAATGGAAAAACTCAACTATTCAATAAGAATTTGTAGTACATAATGATCTGTAATATAAATGATAGCATTGAAAAACTTTGTGACTTGAAAAGTTCATTATCTCTATTTGGGGAAAGGGAAAAAGTAGATTATAAACTAGTTGGTACACGATTTCATTTTTATAAAAATATACATATGCTATTTATACAGTGACATATATATATCTGAAAGGTTATGCATAAATGTATCAGTAGTGATTATCCTTTTTTGCCTTGTCTGTATTTTTGAGTTTTTAAAACTATGAATAATTTATGGAGAGATAAAAATAAAAATAGAATGGCTTATTCAAAACCAAAACACTGTCCAAGCTTTTTAAACAAAGTTACTAAAATGAAGAAACTAAACATTGCAATACAATTTCGCATGATTTTCTGCCACCCTATGGTGAATACTACTCATTGCAGGGCTAAACTAAGCAAAATATGGAACGAAGAAATAATCTGTAGCTGAAGATGAAATTTTTTACAGAAGTATGGCCCAAGATGTTTAGCCAAAGCTTTGCGGATCAGTTTTGCTTGTTTTCTCTTCCAGACATCTAACAAAACAGGTAGAACGGGAGGAATATAATAACACCTATTATTTAGAACGAGCATATTGCAAGCATAAATAAGATTTATTTATTTATGCATACAGAACTGGGGTACAGACCGAGGTGCGGGGGTGAGACAGAGACAGTGAGCAGAACAGGCATCCAGCGGGTGGATCAGGAGTTTGCCACCTCGTGTGGGTCACCGCCCTGGCCTGGGATCCTGCTGCAGTAGCTGCAGTAGCTTCATAATGCTGTGCTTTAACCTTGTTTCGTCACCAGGGAGGGCCCTGAAAGCACAGTTTTAATGAATTTCACTCACAAAATCCTTATCAAATAGGTATTTACCTCCTATTTTATAGCCGAACCAGAGCTTAGCTGACTGCCACAGCCAGTAAACATTGCTAAAGTCATTGCTAAAGTGCTTTTTGAATCACGGATTTCTGAGCTTTTCTGTTCCCCTTAAGCTCCACTTTCTGTCATACCTTGTAGATATTAATGGATGGCGTTTTCTAAGAACTCTTAGATTCTCCAAATGGTGCTGTTTCGTGAAGCTGTAGAGCAGCATTACTACTCAAAAGTATGACCCGCCAACCCGGGCCCTGCTCATAAAAGTTCTATGGGACTGCTTAAGGTCCATGGAGAGACAAGTACAGAAAGTGGGGCTGACGTTGGAATTTCAAAGTATCGTTTTAATTGGAAATTGAAAAGAATAATAAACCGATCGTTTCCTACATATCAATATAATGGGACAGCTATTGTTGTAAAGCTGTTCACATTAGGGAATTTTCGAAAACTCCAGCTCCTGGTCTCCTCAAATGAGGTCTCGGAGAGTGTTCCTCCATTCATTTCCTCCATTTTATAACACACAACTACTGTAGCGATCAACAAAGCCAACAGAAAGTACAGAAACACTCTAAAGCCGCGTCCCAAGCGAGAGGAAACGGCGAGGACGCGCCAGTCAACGCCCGGCGCCGCGGGGTGGCGAGCACGTGACGCGCCGACCAGGGGAAGGCAGGGCCGCCGCGGGGCGCATGCGCGGTGAAGGTGCGCGGCGACTGAGGCTGCTGGGAAGGATTCCGTGTCTTCCAGCCCGCCAGCCTCCGCCTCCCCGGTTGCCGCGCCTGGGAAAGGTCTGGATGTTGTCACTTCCGCCGGCGTCGCGCTCTGCGTCCGGGTCAGGTGCCGCCGCCGACGCCGCCACCGCTACAGCTGTGGCTAAGGAACTGGGCCCGGGTCTCCACCGCCGTCCGAGGGGAGCGGGCTCCGCTCGGCGCCGTCTTCTGCGACCTGGCCGTCAGCCCCACGTCGCCGGCCTGGAGGGGCGAAGGAGACGAGGGAGCCAAGGCTTCCTCCGGGGTGAGTGCGGCTGTGAGAAGGCTGGGCACCGCTTCTATGGGTTGGGGACGGGCCTGCGGGCGGGCTGTGAGGGGCGCGGCCACCGGCGGCCGGCCGGGGAAGCCGGCTGGGTGCTCCGTTGTCGCGGGCGCCATTGAGCCAGCCCGGAGGTACTTCCCGGATCCCCGCCCGGACTAGGCCCCCGCCCTTGGCTCGGCTCCTCTTTGCCATCCCTGGCGCCTCCGCCCCACCGCCGCCACCCCTTTTCCGTTCGTGGCCGTTGTGCTTGCACGGAAAACCTGTGCCTTTCTCGCCCCCTCCCCACACCCTGTCTGGGTGCGGTGTCTGACCGATCCGGTATTTATGACCAGCGTCCGTCCTGCTGCAGAACAAAGAAACTTGGACTTGTGATGTGCCTCTGCCCTCGGGGAATAGACGCGGAAGCCGCCTTTGTAATCTGCATTTAACAGACCTTCCTGCGCGAAAGGCCTAGTTCCTGCGAGGAATCACACACTGTTTTTGCTGAGATACCTGGCAAAAGTGGTTTGGGTTTCCTGGGTGCAGTTAATGCCACTGTCGCCATCATTCGCTCGGTGTCTGTAAGTCAGAATTATGGAGTGGTCTGTTAGGGTGCTTTGAATTTTCTCTTGATTGCCCGTTGTGGGACCTGGAGAAGCTTTGGCCCTGGTCATCTAGGGAGTCATAGTGCCTTCCGTACAATAAGTTGGAACGAGATCACTTCGTTTTAGAGATTTTTTTTTTTCAATCATCGTCTTTTCTTGGATTAGGATCTCAACCCTACTGATTAACTTAGTAACTTTAAAAAATAATAATTGCTCGTGTTTTTTCTCTAATATTTTATGAGAATTTTTGCAATTTGTGAAAGTAAGTTTCTTCAAAACTATATATAGCTGGCTACTCGATTTAATTACCCCACCGGAGAAATTTCTTGATGATCTTACACAACTGTTTAATTGTCATTTTACATTTTGTTTAAATTAGTCTTGGTCTTCATAATCTCTGTTGCAGCATCATCCTTTGAGTTTAGACAGGGAAAAGGAAGGGCCCACTTCTGCAATCATGGGACTTGAACGAGATCACTTTAAGTGCTATTGAAAGTTTTACAGTAGTGTGGACATTGCAGTACCTTTGTGTAACCAAATCTGGCATTATAGGCTTATTCTGTACCCGGTTGCTAATAAACTGAAGATAGTGTGCTGTTTTAGAAACAGTTAGGTCTGGGTCCCAAAATGTGGTGCCATTGGACTCAGATAAAGTCGGATAATAACACCAGTGTTTTATATATCACAAAATTGCTGGTTGAAACATAAAGATGGTGAATATACAGGTGGTTAATAAATGTGAAAAACACTCTTTGGGGAAGGTGATTCTGTTCATTTTATCTGAACAGATAGGGCTTGTGAGTGAGATTGGCACATAAGAAAGGAAGTTTGTATAGCCTGATTCAATTTTTTTTTTTTTTCAAATTAAGTAATGGAGAGGCACCTGCAGGGAGAGCTACCCAGATCCATTAAGTTAACTTTGGTTGACTTAATGTCTTGTTAAGCTTACCTTATATAAAGCAGAATACTAGTATGATTGATCATAGTAATAGTCCAAAATTACTTCATATTACAAGTAATATTTGTAGTTCCACAAGGAAGTGTTAGATATCATTTAGTAGACGTCACTTTTTTTTTTTTTTTTAAGATTTACTTATTTACTTATACAGAACTGGGGTACAGGCCAGAGGTGCAGGTGCAGTGAGAGGATTCACCAGAGTCAGAGTGAAGAGCAGAACAGGCAGGTCTACGAAGTACACTGCTGAGGGAGCAGCGGTCGGGTCAGGAGAGGTCTGTCGGCCATGTGGATCGCCTGTGCAGCAGCGATGGAACTCATGCCTGAAGTGGCTTTCCCTTCTTAGTGCTGTGCTTTAACCTGCTGCGCCACCAGGGAGGGCCCCCAGTAGACGTCACTCTTTAAATGACAGAGCATCTCCAGTATGTTCTTAGTGACAATTTAATGAACCTTTTATATAATTTATTCTTTGCTATATTTTGACATATTTGAGAAAAGCTGCCACCTGTATAGTTTTTCTTTGAATTTTGTGTTAAGGTTTCTGATGCTGTTTCATCTCATTCTTAGTAACTGACATGACTGTACTCAAGGAAGCAATGACAAGCAGGCATAAGGATTTTTCCAGGGGTGTTTGGTGATACTTAGGCTGGGCTAAGGTATTTTCCTGTAGTGCTAACAAAGTTGCCAACTTCAGGAAAAAGCATACTTTAGAATGAATTTCTTTGCTTTAAATGGGGGAGTGAAATGCTTGCCTGAACATTTCCTTCTACCTGCTGTAATTAACCTCAGCATAGATAGTGATTACTAGCACCTTATTCCAGCAGCAGTGTTAACTACAGAATAGTAAAGTTGCCGTATAAAATTAAAAGTTATAATTAAGACACCTTAAATTTGACTTAGATTTAATTTTTTCTTGTTATAGTTAAGCTGAATGGGAGGGGGGGGGACCTTTCTTCTTTTTTGATTGTATTTACTACCCCAGCTCCCTTCTGAAGTTTCCAGGAAAAAAATCCTTTATTGCCTTACACTGAGATCAGGGACTATTTTGGAGTTGTTCTTACCACCCACAATGATAATGGACCTAAGTACAGATGTGTTATCTCTACTACAAGTTGGTTGAGAAATCAAGTTATTCCTGCTTCATTAAGTTAACTTAACAAATAGCATCTTAAAGTGTTATTTCCCCATTCTAAGTTCCAAAATCTGGACAAAAAGTGGGAATCAACCACAGTTAACCTGTGAATCAGCAATAGCCTGATTTCCTTCAGTATTTGTGCTTATGTTGCTCCTTTCTTGTTTGTTCCTGTTCTTAAAGCTGCTGATGATAAGTGTTTCCAAGAACAGCACTCTCTCAGTTTATACTGTTTATCTGCCTGAATTTTCCCTGAAAATTCTTCATTAAATGTTCATGAATCTGTATCTCTTCTCTAAAGTTCTGTTAAACTAGCTTAGTTATCCTCAAACTAGTACCCATGTCCATATGCTGTGATGCATTGACATCACATAATTCAAAATATATTAAAATAAAAATTGAATGGGCTGGCAACGGAAGGATTTGAATTTTCTGTTAACAGGCACTTTTTTTTAAATTTAAGATTCCTTTATGTATACAAGACTGGGGTACAGGCCAGAGGTACAGGGGCTGAGAGGAGTCACCAGAGATAGTGGGGAGCAGAACAGGCCGATTTACTGAAATACACTGGTGAGGGAAGCAGTGGAGAGACAGAAGAGGTCTGTTGTGCCATATGGGTCACCTTCCTGGCTGGGGATCGAACTCGTGCTGAAGTGGCTGCAGCTAGCTTCATCGTGCTGTACTTGCGCAACCAGGGAAGGCCCCTGATAGGCACTTCTCTGAGTAATAGACTTGTTCAAGTGGTAAAGCAGCTAAAAGATGTGGTTTGTCTTCTAGCATTTCACAAGATACATATACTTACATCTCTGTAGGTTGCATGTTAGTTGCTCCAAATAGTTTTGTTACCTTTTTTTAGCTGGCTTTAGCTTTTTAGTGCTGTGCTTAAACCCCTGCCACCAGAGAGGCCTATTTTTGTTACATTTTTTGAAAGCTAAAGCATAACAGGAAGCCTGTTTGCATAGTTCAATAAGACCAATAAGCCTAAAAGAATAAAAAAACCTTTAAGGTTTGCTACCTGTGTCATACCTTACAATTCTGTATCATTTAACTTTTTCCTTTAATAGTGGTACTTATTACATGTCAGGCGTTGTGTGGTCACTACTTATATTTTTGAAATATTACATATTTTTCTGAGTATGTGGGATATTTGAGACATACAGAACATCCTGGTATTTTTCCAATACTCAGTAAAAATGTAAGACAAAATCATGGAAAACTTTTGGTTGTTGAATTTAGGAAAATATATTTAGTTCACTTAGAATATCAAAGTCTTGAGAAACAGTTAAGAGGTACCAGTGAATTAAAAATTTTGAAGAGAATATCAGTTTTTAACTTTTAGTAGAAGACTGTACTAAGTATTATTTAGGCCTGTCTGTTATTTTGGGGTCTTTTCTACAAGTTCTGTGTTCTAAACTGATGACATTGTCTAGTAAGGTATATATCTCTTCCTTGTTTAAATTCCTCTTTAGAAAAACAACTGTCAGAGGAAAAGAGTTTATAAAATGATTGTTGAAGACGTGCATTAATTATAGTGTAGGTTATGTATTAGAAAATGCTAAGTAAGTCAAATGTATGTAAGTGTCTTTTTCATTAATCTTTTTAAATTGCCTGGCTCATTTTCCTAGAGTAAAAATGATGTGTTTCATGCATAAATTTATTGTTTTTTCCCAGCAAATATGTTAGTGAAGATAGCATTTGCTTTTATTTCTGTGCTAACAAGTGGGTGCTCAAAAATTTAAATCTTTTGAGAATGTTTGGAACTTTCCCTTGAGCGTAAATAAGAATTTAAACTGGCAAGAGAGCCTTTGAATTCTTGGCAGAAATATGAGTTTAGTTTAGTTTAGTTTATTTACTATATGGAATGTAACCCTTAAGATAATTTCCAATGTAATTTTATTTTTGTTCTGGAGCATAATTATTTTTCTGAACCACTTTGCACATCCTTTTGAGTATTGTAATGCTGTAGCAAATCAGATCACCATGAAACACTGACCATGTCTTTATGTAGAGGATTTTGGGGGGTGAGTGTGGATGACTGACACCGTTTTAAGTTACACATACATAGTTTTAAAGGTCATATAGATACTTTAGAAGGATTATGGAAAACATAATCCTCACTCCACCCTCTTTCTTCTTCCAAGGGTATGAACTACTTTTACTTTTCTTTTTACTACTGCTACTACTGAATTTAGTGTTACTTTCTATCCCTTATTTATGTTTTACTACTTTTTTTTTAATTCTCGTGTAAGTGAACTAAAAACTCCATTTGTGTACCTGTTGCCACTTAGTTACAGTTTTTGTTACTTTGTTGACCTGATCTTCATGACTTTTTAGATAGTATATTTGATCTATATTTCTTCATCATCCAAACCAGTCTCCTACTAAACACAGATATTGATACTCATAACCTCCTTTGGGAAAACTAAAAATTATGGCCTAAGTTAAAATATAGTTGCATGAATAAATTTATTCAACTTCAATGCTTGAAAACTTACGTTGAACTTTGTGAGAAGAGCTTGGTATGGATATGTAGCAAATCAAAATGTAGCATGATTCATTTACTGGACAGCCTTTGAGTAGCTCAGTAATTGTACTGTTGAAACTATATATGGTTACCAGGGTGGAAGTATGAACTAAGAAATGAGAAGTAAAGTGGAAAATAAATTTTTATTTATAAATTAAACATTTTTCTCTCTTCACAGGACTTTGGCTCTCTGGATTACCAGGAGTTTGCAGTTGACATTGAGTCCAAACTGAGGATGGAAGGTGTGGAACTTAAAGAAGAATGGCAAGATGAAGATTTTCCAATGTGAGTAATAATTTAAATGAAAATAAATTTAGAACAAAACTTTAAAATTTCTTTACTAAGTCATTTCCAAAATGAATATTGGCTTCTTCAAGAAAAGTATATTGTAAGGTGTTCATTTGATACTAGGAAATGAAAGTAACTTTCCAACAATTATATCAATTCTCTTACATCTTACTTTCCAGCCAAAATATATGGTCTTCTATTTGTTTTAAACTTTAAATATCTTTTTGCTGTTATAAAAAATGTTGGTACATTTTTTTTTTTCTTAACCTGGGGTCTGTGGGATTCCTAAGAGAGTGGGTGAGGTGGGGTCTTTATCTGTAAAAATTTTTGAATATTTTGTTTTTATTTTAAGGGGAAGAAATAAGCAAGGGTTTTCTAGACCTGATCGCCAACTGCCTTAACACATATGTATGTGTGTTTACAATTGTATTGGTACCAGTTGGGTTAACAGGAAAAGTGTACTTAAATGATGCTTCTATGGCATTGTGGTCAGAAGTACATCCCATTGCACCCAATAAGTTCCCTTAACATTTGGAATATGGACAGCTGGGGAAGGTCTGAGTCATTACCTGGCACGTGATGTTATAGAAATATAGAAATGTTGAACTCAGAAGAATTGTAACCACCATCACCTTATTCCTAATGTAAGGTCCATCATACATCACATTAAATTTATGTCTTTGAATAACATGTATCTGCTAGGTTTCTCATTTACAGTTATATTTAAGAGCAGTTACATAAGGAATTTATACTACTTTTTATATTGTTAATATGGAAGTCATCTCTGACAGTATACATTTTTTTTCCTTAAAAATGGTTTGTAAATTACTAAAGCTTAAGAAATACTGCTTTATCCATCTTCCATCTAGTTTTTTCTAGAAAGTATTTTTAATAGCTCTTTAAACTTTGGGGAAAATTTTTTTTTTTTTTTAAATTTTCGGAGTTAAATTTGATTTAAATTTTGGATGTCTTTGTCTTCTAGACCTTTACCAGAAGATGATAGTATTGAAGCTGACATATTGGCTGTGACCGGACCAGAGATCGAGCCTGGTAAGAACCTGACACTTTCACTTTCAATGAAGTGATTGATTTCAGTGATTCTATTTTAAATACATTTTAAACAAAAATACTCACTTTTTGTTCTATCATAGATGATCCAAAGATAAGTTGAATGTTAAGGAAAGCATTTGCAATGCTTTGGAAATATAACTTCCAAAAATTTACCCTTAGTTTTTGAACATTTCTGCAATAAAGGGGTGAGAGTTCATTTTTAGTAGTGAGAGATAATAAGATCTGCCTCTATTATTCCAAAAAGACAACCTTGCTAGGATGTCATCTTGCCATTATGTAAAAGCAATAGGAATCAAAATCCAAAGTTTATAAATAGGTACTTTGGAATTCTGTTCAGTTAATGTTTTTCTCAAGAATGAAATTATAAACTTTTTTCTCTAATCCAACTTTAGCATTTAAGTACCCATTCTAATATTTCTTTGACTTTGTTTACCCATCCAGCCTCACTAGAAGTTAATGGAAATAAAGTAAGAAAGAAACTAATGGCTCCTGACATTAGCCTGACCCTGGACCCTAGTGATGGCTCCGTGTTATCAGACGAGTTGGATGAAAGTGGGGAAATTGACTTAGATGGCTTAGACACACCATCAGAGAATAGTAATGAATTTGAGTGGGAAGGTAAACGTTTCATTGTTTTTATCTGTCTTTTCTTTATGAATGTTTGTCATATATATGTATATACACATACTTTTCACAAATGACATTTTCATATTAGAAAAATTAGGATAATTGAAGCTTAAAACTTGATTAAGCTAAGATCAGCGCTTTAAGGAATTTTATTGACTTATTTCTGAAGTTCATATATTTGTTACTAGGGTAGGAAATTCTGCTAACATTGGATATTGTCGTGGCTTTCAAAACTATTTATGGTGGGTGAATAGCTTAATTTTTTCCCCTAAATCACCAATGCTATAAAAGTCTTTTTTTTTTTTTTCATGGTTGCTTCCAAATTACTACTTGATAATTACAGCATAGACTTTTCAGTCCATTCACTAAGAAAAAAAAAAAAACTTTGAAGAGACATGTAACTGTGAGTGTGCTAAAAGGATTTGTAGGAGTTCTGAAGGGAGTTTTGTTTTGTTTTGTCTTTTGAGTTCAATTTTGCCTGATAGTGCTGTACTTTGTAAATGATCAGCTTGAATTAATGTGTATGCTTTACCTCCAATCTTATCCTTTATTATTAGTTATTTGGGATTCGATGGAGTTGGCATGACTTTTGCTTTACATGTTTCCTTTAAATAGATAGTGGTGTCTACAACTATTTTTATATAGTTGTAATAATATATTCTATCTTTAAAATGATTTTTACTTCAAAATAGTATTTAGTACTAGGTATCAGGGCTTCAGTAAAGAGTATGGATTCTTGGAATGCACTATTCTTTTGTTAACTTCCTTCCCTGTTTTACTGGTTCAGTAAGCAGTCCAGTAATAAGTAATATTTTATAAAGATACTGAAATAGTTTTCTGCCTATGTGTTTTGTCTCTCTTTAATGCTGCTGTAGTCATTTCCTGGAAGGATATTTTCCGTTAACAGCTTTGTCTTGGAAACAAACAACTAACATGCAGTAGGTCCCCCTCCCCCCATCTTTTGGTAAGGACTATGATACTAAAGTTTTGAAAATCATTTCTTCATTAAAAATAAGCTAAAATACAGTCTTGAAATATAAATTACATCTAATCATTGGTGCTTATGCTTTGGCTAATGTTAATTTACAATAGACTTTTGCATGAATACTTCAAATATAAATTTCTGCTTTATAAAACTGATCAAATGAGACATAATCAATGATTAGTTAACCACTTTCTATCTGGTATTACAATGTTTAGGGAAAATTTTTTTGTGCTCAATAACAAAAGCAATTGACCCCCAGATAGTTACTTTAAGTAACCGATAGACGTAACTGTCAAGGGCTATGTTATTATAAATAAAATATTAAATTGAAAGACATTATAAATTTTGATGACTGTATGAATTATCCTTTCTGAACTTAAGTATTTACCATGTACTGTGATTCGATTCTTATCTAAATTAAGCAATACAGAAAAAATTAAAGAACCATGATTCCAAAAACACTACATAGTGACATATCAAGAGCAAAACTTTTCCTTCTATTATGGAAAAAAATATTTAAAGTTCATCAAAAGGTATAATGAAAAATTCTCTGAACAATCTAATTAGATAGTAAAGTGGTTAACATGTAATTTGATTTATATATATAAATAACAATTTGTGATTCAAAAACCTTTTTATTTTGACAGATGATCTTCCAAAACCCAAAACTACTGAAGTTATTAGGAAAGATTCAATTACTGAATACACAGAAGCAGAAGAGAAAGAAGATGGAAGGCGCTGGCGTATGTTTAGAATTGGAGAACAGGACCACAGGGTTGATATGAAAGCAATTGAACCTTATAAAAAAGTTATTAGCCATGGAGGTAAGAGTTAAAATAGTTGAGATTGATTAATGCAAGTATAAATGCTTGCAAAAATTCCCCCTAGATATTACATAATTTTTAAAACATATTTATCATGTAATTTTAAATATACAGGTTTGAAGTAAAAGGATAAACCCAATATTTAATAGCTGAGTACATGCATGCAGTAAGAAAAGATAAGAGTGAAAACTTGTCTCCCTTCCTCCCCCCAAACTAGGACTTACTCCCCTTTTTATCTTTTTATAACTTACATACAGTGAACTGCTATAATCCTTTTTCACTGCAGAGTGATGTTGCATTGCATGAATAATCAACGGTTTACTTATCCATCCTCCTTTGTGTGGACATGTGCATTTCCCCCCAGTTTGGGCTATTACTGTTCAGTTTAAATTCTTACACAGGTCTTTGTTGCTATAAAGTAAAACCTGACTTTTTAAAATGATGACTCTTAATTTACTTTACCATGAAAAAAATCATTTCGCTTTACCACAACATAGAGAACTAGTTGGTTCTACAGTTTATGGCATATCTAGTTGGCATACTTGTGGTGTATACCAAAATGTAAAACTTTTTCCCAGCTCTCAAAAAATTTTAAATCGAACAAAGAAGGTAAAGTATAATTTATCAGTGTGACCGTGCCTATATATAAAGTCTACCTACTCATTGTGTAAATGGTATCAGAATGTGAGAGTCAAAATGTAACTTAACTATGTGTAGCCTGTATTTGTTACCTGGAATTCTAGTGCAGGAACAGAGGGCCACATAGGTCTAGCAGATTGGTTTTTCACACAGAGTTGTTTACACTTCATTTGCTTTCTGTCAAATGCATTGCCCTGCTTATTTCTATAGTCTTCATTGGTCTGAAAGCAAGTCATTTGAGTATTTGCAGTTAACATTATTCTGCCTAATTTAGTCTTACTCAGATGTACAGCCTGGCTTCGTGGTTTGAACCTAGTATCTTTCTGAAATAATACTTTATTTTTCTTAGGGAGAACAATAAGGCCACTTAGTTCTACTGAATTATCACAATATGTTTGATCACTAAGGGATTAAAAAGGTTGTGAAGATTCTAAAGTACTTGAAATGTTCAATCTTTTCAATGCAGGTTTATAAACAATAGAAAGCAAAGTTAAAACAGAAATATTTGTGGATACAGCTTAATACGTAGACATTATCGGTGAAATATAAACATTTTAGCCCTGTTTATCTTGTTAGAATTGTGTCAGAGATGTCATCTTTTTACAGGGTGCTAGATATTATTGAACTTTTAATGACTTTTTAGTCATAAGTTGCATACAGTTCTATTGTGGATGTTGTGTTGTCTTCTTAAATTATTATCACTTTGTTTATGTACTAAAGTAATACTGGCTTTGTGATTATGCTCATTTAACTGATTGTGGTTTTTATAACTGCCCTTACTTGTTCTCTTTCTGAGAAGAGGGGTTTAAGAAGGGAGAAACTATGAGATAAGAAAAAACATGCTTTTTGATTCATAAATTTAGTAAACCACTGTAATATGTCGGCCATACAGATGTACTCTTAATAGTCTTGAGAGTAAAAATCATGCTACTGATTTTATCTTTGGTTTCTTTTTCAGGATATTATGGGGATGGATTAAATGCCATTGTTGTGTTTGCTGTCTGTTTTATGCCTGAAAGTGGTCAACCTAACTATAGGTACCTGATGGACAATCTCTTTAAGTGAGTAGATCATCACAAAGATGTTTGGCAGAGTATGAAGAATTAAATCCCAGTTTAAGGAAGTAACCTTTAGTTGGGTGAAAATTAATAAATATCTTAGTTCTGGTTTTTTAAATTTTTATTTCGCATTGTGAAATTGTTTTGACTCAAAAGACAAGTCATTTTAAAACTGGAAGAGATTTCAAATTATATGTTTCAAATTATCTGTTCCAACTTCTTTTTTTTTTTTTTTTTTAATTTAAGGACACCTCAAAGAAAATACAACACTGACATACATAGATATTACATTTACCACCTCCAGTTCCTCCGAAGCCAAATATAACTAAGCTGACTCAGTTCTGTTTTATTTCCAGAGTCTATTTTTCAAGTTAGTGCAGTTTTTTAAAACTTGGTTATGGAATATGTCAAACATAAAAAGGCAGAGAAAGTATACTGAATATTGGTATACTAAGCATTCACTTCCACAATTACCAGTTTATGCTTTATTCCCACAGTTTTTACCCCTCCTCATTGTTTAATTTGAAGCAAATCCCAGCCTGTCATTTTATCTATAGCTATATCATTGTGCATTTCTGAAGATAAGAACTCTTCTTTTTTTTTTAAAAGGTTTTATTTATGCATACAGAACTGGGGTGCAGGCCGGAGGTTCAGGGGTGGTGAGAGGATCCCACCAGAGACAGAGTTGGGGGTAGAACAGATGGATCGACGAAGCACACTGCTGAAGGGAGCATTGGACAAGACAGGAGAGGTCTGCCAGGCCATGTGGTCACCTCTATAGCTGGGATAGAACACGCAGTGAAGCAGCTGCAGCTAGCTTGCAGTGCTGCACTATAACTCTTTGCGACACCAGGGAGGGCCATAACTCTTCTTTTTTAAACAATAATAACTTTAACATTTAACTTTTAATGTCTTTGCTAGTTTTGTGTGTTTTGAAGGACCTCATTTGGTTCTGCAAAACAATGTTTTAAGACTTAAACCTAATTTTTACAGGTATGTTATTGGCACTTTGGAGCTGTTAGTAGCAGAAAACTACATGATAGTTTATTTAAATGGTGCAACAACTAGAAGAAAAATGCCCAGTCTGGGATGGCTCAGGAAATGCTATCAGCAAATTGATAGAAGGTATAAGTACAACTTGGAGTTATTAAATTTTTTTACTGTTGCCATTTAAAGATTGATGTATCTATTTCCTGCTATATTAATTTTGTAGCAAGTTTGTATTTTTTCAAAATTTTTAAAATATCTTTAAAGAAATCAGTTTTGATCTCTTGTTAAGAATTTCCCAAAATAAACATTCAGTGGCTTTTTATTTCTTACTTATTTCACAATGAACAATATAATATACTTTTTGGGGAGAGGTGAACTTTCTGTTCATATTTTTCTTAATCTGTATTTTTTTATTTTTATGTTTTTAAGATGCTTGTTTAGCTATAATAATTCTTTGCAGTGAGCTCTAGGATTGTATTTTTCTGGGAAAGAATTAGTCATCTACACAATGGAAGAAACTGATTTTTCCATAGCCAGTTAAAACTATTTCAATAAATTGAGACCCATTAATAGGCTTTTCTTCATACTTAAAGAGAACATTGACTAGTTGTGATTTTTTTATCCTTAATTATCACTTTATGTGTGAAATATTCATGATAAAACGTCATTTTTTAATTTTGCTGTTTTAAGAGGACTTAGGATAATGCCTGTAATTCCTTTAATGTTTAATCAAAATTTTGGATTCCATAAAAATAAGAGTTGTTTGTTCGTGTGGCAATTTTCTACTCCCACTTTCATAGCTGCACAGAGCCTATCATCTATTAAAGAAATTGGTTCACTTTTTCCCTCAATCCTGAAAAATGAAAGCTTTTTTATTTCCACGTTCAGTATTGACCTCCACCCTGGTTGACAAGAGTCCTCAAGACCAGGGAATGTATGCTAGAAGACATTTAATATTAGGCTATTCTGTGGACATAAACCTAGCCAAATGAAGTTATGTACATCTCATAGAAGTAGGAGAGACCATCAGAATTCACCAGTGTGTTTCCTTTTCTTTAAGGATATTACAGCTAAATGAGAATGCTTGGATGGGGCGTTTACAAATCACTTTTTGTATAAATCTAATTGCACATACTTATTGATGTCCTGTCCTCTAGCTTTAGAATTTAAAGTTTTCAAATTTTTGTTTATTTTCTTGAGAAATAAAGCCAGGTTTACATTAGAGCCAGATTAAGGAGGATCCCTGGAATTTAGCTCTCTTCCAATGCCTTCTCCATCCACATTTCTTTGCCTTCGACTAGTCACTGACATTACCTTAGCTGTTGTATGTAGGTTTTAAACACAGCTATGAAGACAAGTGTTAAACACCTACACTTTGAATGAAAATTACCTTGAAGGGTATTCCTTTACATTCTCATTTTACTGTTTCTTGTAGCCCCTTTACTTTCATATTGTCTGACTACTGGCCATTTATTTATTACCAGTCTGTATTCATGGTCTGTGAGTCTTCTAGTAGATCGAACTGCAGGATCTCATGCAGAAGACTGAGTAAGACCTGTAAGCTCTTTGTTCTTGCTTTGAATGCAGTAACATGAAAGAAGAATCACACAAGCCAGTGATTCTATATGCCTTGTAGTGATGGTTGCTCACCTCTCAAAAGATGCAAAAGGGAAAATGATACATCAAGATAGCAGCTGTGTACATGGACAACTAAATATTTTTCTAATCCAAGTCTCATTATTTTTTAACTCCAGGTTACGGAAAAACCTAAAATCTCTAATCATCGTGCATCCTTCTTGGTTTATCAGAACTCTTCTGGCTGTCACAAGACCATTTATTAGGTAATTTATTGAGCATCATAGACTTTAAAAACGAAAGTACAAACTCCTTATATGAATTTGTCACTTCTGTTGGTCAGAAATGTTGAGGTAATTATTTTTATTTTCTTCCATAGCTCAAAATTCAGCCAAAAAATTAGATACGTCTTTAATTTGGCAGAACTAGCGGAACTTGTCCCCATGGAGTATGTTGGCATACCAGAATGCATAAAACAGTATGTTTTGTTTTATTTCTTTGTCTTGGGTCTTTGTATTTTGCTGTGCAAAAGGTAAATTTTTTCAATGCTCATTCGTTCTCCTTTCATGTATTACAATTATTTTGTAACAAAGAACAAGATTTTCTAATACTTTCCCCCTAAGTCAATAATACCATAGCAGTTGAAGAAATAGGAGGAATTATTTCATTCATATTTTTTAAGTACGGTTATAGTTTGATAAGCTCTTCTGATTGATAAGTCCTAAAGAACAGTCTCCAGACTTGAACATCTGCTCTCCACATCCAAGTAAGCTTCTCATTGCTTTGAATAATTGTATTAGTAAAGAAGTTTCATTTTTATTAGTCTAATTGTAATACTTTCCAGTGGCGGGAATTTGTTTTATTTACCAAATTATCTACTTTCATCTTTTAAAAGGATTTCGTAGAGGACTGTTAACATACATAATTGAACATCACAGTTCTACAGCATAGAAAGAAAATTCTTTGTTCTGTTAATCTGAGGTTTAAGTCTGCTTAATGTGTAAAAACCAGATTTTTGAAATCAGTTTGAATTTATAGTGTATTAAATATTTTTGATTGTGCTTATAAATTACATTTTTAGTGCCTTTTTTTGAGTTTTTGTGCATCTTCGTAACATGTATATTTACTGAAATAACTCTTCCTTACCAAGGTATGAAGAAGAAAAGTTTAAAAAGAAACAAAAAAGGTATATGCACACCTTGACTGGGTTGCATCTAGACTAGTCCATTTGCACTGCACAGACTAACTCTTCCTTACTCGTTGGTTAGCTCATAGACAAAGATAATTGCATTTGTAAATATTAAAATAACCCAGACCACAGGGTAATTATAAGTTCCTGGTGCTGAATACAGCTTGAAATGACCTAATTTAACACTATATATAATGCCAATTAAAAATTAAAAGCCATAGTCTCTCCCCTCCTTTTTAGTATAGTAAATGGTAAAACTGGAGAAATTAATAAGGACACTGTTGAAAAACCAGTCGCTTTTAAGATTTTATTTGGTTCATCATTTTTTAAAATTTCTAACTTGTGCTTTTGAAATATTTATATACTTTTTTGAGGAATCAATTTATTTCCCTGGGGTTAATGATTATATTTGCAATGCATGTATTCTTTGGCTAACCAACATTGATTTTTCCTTGTATTGCTTAAGTGGCCTGCTAACCAGTCAAATTCTACATGTGATAAAATGAAAGTTCAATGTACCATTTAATAGTAAACACTCTGTTTTCTCTTAAATTTAATTTTAAGTACTTCTGCTTTGAGCATAACAAACTATTACTTATTAATATCTGCATAGGAGATGAAAGGCAAGGTTTAAAATACTAATTTAAAAATATGTAGGACTTGGATCTAGCTTGTTAATGGATTTTGAAAATACTGACTAAATCACAAAACAGTTTAATTCAGTCTTCTGAGTTAAGGTGAGGAATTTATGTGTAGTTATTATTTTGACCATTCTGTGCAACTGGAACATTCTTAATTTTATACCCGTTTTGACTATTGATGAGCAAGATTTCAGTTGACCACATGATAGTTTTACATTTCTATATGACCCCTGACAAGTCTTAAACATTTTAATATAGAGACATGAACAATGATTTTAGATCTTGCTAATGTCTTATTCCTTTCTAGGTATTGGTGTTTGTCAGAGAAGTGACTGAAAATGAAAACATACTGTGTAATTGTAGAATAGTTTGAAGCCAGCTGCTTCATAAATTTCAAATGAATTGCCTTTGTTGAAATTTGCTGTTTTGTGCCTTTAAAAAATTCATAATATTTAATTGCATGTCAAAAAGTAATTTAGGCATCAGAAAATATGTACAACTGTGTGCTTTTATGTTATTGAACAAACTACTTCTGGTTTTTTTTTAACTTTTAAAATGAAATCTTATGAGAAACATTACAAATATCTTTCAGCACTTGGTTTTTGTACAGTTTATTTAACCCTAAAAAATGAACTCTTTGTTACCTTGAAAATGATAATATTTACATTTTTTAAAATAGAGTGAGAGACTACATGTGGGTGAGCTTCTTAAGATGAAATCTCTTATTGTTGAGTACTGAGAAGAGGATACAAAACTGAGTGAAATACAGCAGTTTTAGATGTTTTTGGTGTTGCTTTGCAATAACTCAGTGCAAATGTAGTTACTGTACGTCCATTTTTAAAAATGTTTCAACATAGTTTAAAGTACTAGTTCATGAAGATATTTCAGATGGTGAGAAGATGAGGTGTACATTGCATGCCTTACCAAGAATATGTACCTTTATAAAAAAATATTTTAAAATGTTGCTCATTTGGCTGATTCACTAATGTTCAGATGACTATAATCATTGGTGTAATAATCATAATAATGTAAACAAGCACGAAACATTTTTTCATGTAATATACCAAGAGTTGTCTATAATTGGTAATTATATATTTTGAATCTCGATTTACCTGAATTTTTATATGATTTCTTGCAACCTACTGCTAATTCATTCAGATTTTTACTATACATCTAGATGTTTTTGATTACATTCTCATGACTTTTATCAAGTAAATAAATGCATTCAATTCTGAATACCTCAATAAATCTTGAATAACTGATTTCATATTTATCATTGAATTTTAAAAGTATTGATTAATAGGTAGCAGTAATAGCATTTTAATACTTCGGTTAATAAAATCAGTTAGTAAAACCATTTTCTGAGGGAGTTGTTTTTCCTTTCACTTTTGCCACTTAGGTCTTTTCCCCAGTCAAGCTATAATTCAGCATTTTGATGTGCCTGTTTTAATTTGAATTTTCAATAAAATTTATGTGCATTAGTATGTATTTTATAAAGAAAGAGCAATCCAAATTCTTGCCAGTATCCTCTTGCCTTTAAAAATTATCTTTCCTGGTTGGGGAAATGTTTGGTAACCTTTTTACTATGCTTCTTTGCCAAGCTTGTTTTTAACAATAATTTTCAATGCTAAAAGCAGTCATTATTTTTAGAAAGATAATTATTCATTTCCTCATGTCTTAATGGCCTATATTCTTTTTAATTAAACAGAGTTGATCAAGAGCTTAATGGAAAACAAGACGAACCGAAGAGTGAACAGTAAGTGGCATCTATTCCAAGCAAGACTGAAGAATGTGCTGATGATGCAGTGCTGTTTTTTGCATTTATAATGCATTTATTGACTTTGATTTTTATGTAACCTGTTAAAAAATTGACTTGACTTTCTTATTGGACTTTTGTATAAGAAACTGTTCACTGCTGTATTGGTTTGTAAATCTCTTGAACTTAGCTCTTTACAAGGTAATTATATTATAATCATTTATGTTTTATGTTGCTAATTAGAAAAAAATCACACTTTATATAAAGCCATTTTGCATTTGTTTATTGAATGATGCATCTTCTTCAGTAAAATATTTATATGCCTAAATGGTAACGGAAAGAGATAATATATATTTTTATGTTTTTGAGCAATATTTTTTAATATACCTGTCTTGTAGAAGAATATGCAGGTAAAAATAAGACCATGATTTTGTACAGTGCATGCTAGAATTTTTGTTTTTTTGTGAATGGTTAAATACATTTCCTGGGTAACTTAGTAAATAAAGTTGCCCATAAAGTGAGGGACAGTTAAACTGCCGCTCATGAATGCCCAAAGGTCATGTACATAATTCAAGTACATTAGTTCATCCTAAGCTTTCTTTCTCACTTAATGTATTTCTTAATTAAGAAGTGCAAATAAAAGTGCAGCATACACTTTTCTCTTTAAATTTAAAGACAAGTCAAAAAGGCCATTTTAGAACTAGCGAATTTAAGAGGCCAAGAGTTAGGGTTTTATATTCATGTATATGTGGGGATATTTTATCTCCTGGCCAAAAATCAGAACTTGTAAAAATGCTAAGGTTTGTTCACTAATGTGAAGTAAGCTATGTGTCCAGGTATTGCTGCCCTGAATTTGTATGAGTACAGTATAGTATTCGGAGAATGTTATGAGTTATTCACTGTCACAACTTTTCTGTAGAAAACAGCGGCTGCTTTTTAAGCCACTCTCAAGGTGGCACTTCCAGAATACTTCCATATCTGTGAGTTGAAATTGGTAGGTGTTTGACTTAGATATGGTGTGTTTTCTCATTTCCTATTGAATCATTTTGATCACATTGTAAATTAAGCTAATTTTATAAGTCTTAGAGTATCTTTATATTATGTTGTTTTGGATGACACATTTCAAATAGTATATAATCTCCTTTTTATAATTCAGTAAGTACCCTGACTACATTGAAATAAATTGTACTTATATTCTGAACAGGACCTAATTACCTACAAAAATCATTTGGAAACAACAGTGAGGTCTACTATTGTTATACATTTAATAATCTTAGTACCCTTCTGATTTAAGGGTTATATCATACTCCAGCACCTCCTGAAAGAAAATTTACAAAAAAGTGCCCTAGGGTACCAAAATTGAAATGGATGAGAGCTAAACTTTTAAGATTATTCTCCTTTAGACTAAAAACATGTAGCTTTTACCAGTGCAATTTTTATATAAAGTTCTATTAGAAAAGAGAATTTTCCTCCGTCATAAACTTGACATGCTAATGTAAGTCCAATTATGGGAAATGCTGGAGAATTCTCAGGATAGTTGTTCCTCAGTAACCTGACTTGGATCCAGCATCTGTGGGCAGATCTTGAACTAGTATTTGTAGCAAATAAAGCTATAACCATTATTGCTTGCTCAAAGCTTAGAAACACTTTGTGTTGAAAAAGCAAACTAACAATAACAACTTAGGCATTCTTTTTTAATTTACATATGAGGATTAGAAACAGGATCATTGAATTTAGTGTGATTAGATTCTGTATTTGTAGGATGCTTTGGAAGATAGTCTGATAGTTTCTCACATAGTCATTATCTCACTAAAAGTGGTCATAGCTTCGTAAATGGTTTTCCTCCAGGTGAAGTACCCAGTTCTTCAGCTTAAAAAATACAAAGAATAACTTAAGTGCTTATTGTATTTATTGACTTTTACTTTGCAGGCTTAGTTCAAATTACAGCTGCAACCTGTTGCAGAAGTGGTGCTTTTTACTAAATAACTTTTTAAAGTAGAAATAGCCTGTTTTCTCTTGGAACATTAAAATTCTGAGGTAACAATCAGAATTTGGTTATAATAAAAGGAACGTGCTGTGAGTCACTGGATTAAAAGGACACCTGTACTAACTTACACCTTCATGGAATCTGGTAAAAGGACATGTCCCATGTTTCATAACTGTAAGACTTATCTACTAGACTAGAGGAAAAGCATTTATTAAGTTTAATTTGATGCTTCTGTCAATATTTTTTGTTACATTTAGGCTTTTCATGACTGTTAAGTCTTTTGTATAAAATAATTTGATTGTGTTCTGCTTGGTCATACCACTAAGGCTTATCAGGGAAAGATGTTACAGTGACCCCACCGTTTAGGCTATTAGTTTTTAACTGGGGCAAACGGGAAGGAAAAGAAGGTTAGTAAACATGAATCTAAGTAGGGCCTAGAGGGTAGTTGGAATGGAAGATGACGAAACAAGAAAGAGACGGAAAACAAAGACATATATAGACTTACCTGTTATCTAAGATGCTGTTGAATGTGTTCCCTACCAGGGAAGTTGGGTGTACCATTTTTTGTATCCAGCAGGAAAACCTGCAGGCTACCCAGACAATGTGTGACTGAGGATTAAAGAGGGGGGCGGATAAAGACTGATAGTAACCTATAATGAAGGTACATATTTTCTCTGCTTTGTGTCTTTATACTGAAGCAAGTTTGAACAGAGGGTCAGCAATTATAACGCCCAGTTTAAAGTTTAAGACCAAGTTATTTCTCGTATTTCGTGATTCATAAACATTACTGTAGACTTCCAAAATGACATCACTATGTAGAAACTTCCAAAATGACATCACTATGTAGTAACTTCACTGAATGCTGAAATTTGCTGATTGACAAGTTAGGTTGATAGCTAGAATTGTTTCAGCTGCAGTTCCAGAAATTAAAGGATCTGCTTTGGTAGAAACCTTCCAAATAACCATTTAGCATTACTGTTTGACTTTTTATGTGAGTGCTCAGGGAATTTGGTGGTGTTTGACCTAATGCTGAAGTGGCTTTTAGGATTCCTCATTTGATAGATAAATTAGCATTAGGATTTATCAAATAGGTCAGTTTGTTAACTAGCTTGTGAGATTATCTGGAAAGTGACAGGTGCTTCACCCTTTTTCCATACTGCATGTGCAAAATTGCTAACTTTACTGTCATAAAGTTGAGGAAACAGGCCAAAACTGGAAATTGCTACCCTATTCTGTTTTGTGTTCATCATAATTTACGCAGCTACTTGAGAAGTGGATCATAAATCTCAGAAAAAAAATGAGGTATCTTCAAGGAATTAATGTAAATTACATCAACTATTCTGTTAGGGTTTATCTTGTCATAGAGAACAGGAATTGTTTGAATTGCTGGGAGAAAAGTCGAGAACTTAGACTTGCATGGAAAGATTAGCTGGTAAGTGAAGTGAGAGTTTGTCTTCTCACTGTTTTAAGCAGTACAAAAGAATTACTTAAGGAACTTTTTTATCCCCACTTTCCTATCCCAGGATTCTATGCGAATTAGAGTCAGATCAATGATGAATCCCAGTAATGTAACTTTTCTTTAAAATTCTAAATTGTAATTGAAAATAAGGTGATTAAGTTGAACAGGAAGAAATGAACTCAAATTTGAAAGAACTACTGCCTTGTAATTATCATAGATTACTTAATTTCTTTCACTTTTAAGAGCTAAATAAATAACATGAAAAGTTCACATAAAGCTTGTAATAACTCAAGTGATGAAAATTAAGGGTTTAGTACTTTCAAATTAGTAAAGAATTAAGTTGTTTGCCTCAGATAGCTGTCTGAATATTAAGACTGTTTACAAAAGGTTAAAAACTAGATCCAAAAATTTTTATGCGTGGTCACATTCACTGTGGCTGTTGAGGAACTTGGACAACAATATTAGCTATTCCACTGCATTTTTTTGTATATGGATATTCTAATATGCCCTTTAAATGATTTACAGAAACCTAGGTAATATTGGTGGTATTCAGGGTCACTAATTGCATAGCCCTTATGCACATAGAACACAGTTCGGAGTTTATTAGACGCTAATGCACTTTGATTATATTTCAAAAATACATCTCTTACCATAATTTCACATGCTGCCACTTAGGTGAAATTAATATACTCTGGTCATTTTTCTATTCCAATGAAATTGCCTATCCTAGTGCTGTCATTTATAGTGTGAGAAATTCAATTCTGATGAATACTGTACAAGATGTTGATGTGGTCCCTGTAAGAAAAACTAGGGTGTATCTTGATTTACTAAGGAGAGGTAATATTTGACTTGTTAGGAATACAGTAACTTATGTCCTGATTTGTTGCACTGGTATTTTTGCAACATTGATGAATTTAAATAAATGAATTGGAAAGTGTGCTTTTGACTCATCACATTTTTCTTTTTTTCCTTCCTGGTGTGATATATTCTTGGAAAATTCAGCATCCCCTGGGGGGATTTATCATTTTTTTCTTTCATTATGCAGCTAATAGTTTTTAACTGAGTTATCTTGTAAACCTTTCCCATGGTTTCAGTTCTATAGTGTTGTCTGGTTCTACTTGCTATTCTCAAAGGAGGGGAAGAGTGCATACATTCCCATTTAATTTTAGACAATGAGGTATTTTGTGTTCCCTGCTCTAGAATTACTGTAGTTAGTGGTGAACCCGAGAGTGAAACCCGTTTAATGAGTGGCTAAAAACATGGCATAAATGAGAACTTGTCTTATAGGCCGGTTCTGAATTCCAGTTGATTGCATGAGTTTTGACATTTACTCCTTAATCACTGTTCAGCAACTTAATAACAGACAGCTCTACACAGCTGCCTTTAGTCCAGTTAGATTACCGTTGGGTTTATGTAAATTTGAAGTACTTATTTTGCATAAGAAATTTTAAATGCATATTCCCCCAAATTAGACTTCTTCATGAATCACAAACTGAAAACTTGCTGAATTGAATGAACTGCGGCCCTGTTTTGAATGGTAAAGAAATGCCTGTTTATAATCTTAAAAGAATTTGTCTTTATTGAGTGGGTGGGAGGGAGTCCTCAACAGTACTGCACTGAATATGCCTTGGCGTAAAATGTGACTGCCCTACCTACTGTCCTTAATTGTGCACATTTAACAGTGGAGAGTGTAGTCTCTAAAAATTGCCTCATGAACGATTTAGTAAACCTGAGGAATTACCCAAAAAGCCGATCCTCGGGTCTAAGATTTAAACGCGCCGGCTCCGCGTCTCCCGCCCTCCCTTCGGAAGGTTTGATTGGCCTGCGGGAGCCTGGGGTGGGCGGGGCCGCCGGCGCGCCTGCTTGGTGTCACTTCCAGGTATCTCGAGCTCTTCCGGGTCGCCGGCGGAGCCCTGCGGTTTCTGCGGCGGCCGAAGAGGTGGTCCGGGAAGTAGGCATCTCTTGCTGGGCTTCTGGCGACTTCAGTCCGCTCTGCGGCGGGAAGCGCCTTCCTCAGAGGTACTGGATGAACCGCGTTCGTCCCCCTTGTCTTTTTTTCAGAACTGGGGTTGCGGTCGGTTGGGTTTTGTCCGGAAAGGGGGCCCTTCGCCCGGGTGTCGGCCCGTTACCCACTTCGCTGGCGGGATGGCCCCGGAGCTTGTAACCGGGAAGGGAGCGACGGAAGACTGCGGGAGGCTTGTCCTTGGGGCGCCAGATGAGTGGACTTGTGGGGAATGTCAGGTGAATGTCTTAGAACCTCTAGGTTGGTTGCTTTGTTGGTTTTTGCCGAATATTGGGAGAGCGCTTTCCTGTAGTGTCCCACTCTTGTGTTGCTTGGATTGTTTGAAGTCCGCTTTCTAAGTTTGTTACTGTGAACTCCAGTTAAGGAGCGATTTTAAGCTGGTTGATTTGATCAAGAGCTAGGACTATTTTGGAGCCTTTTGATTTAATTTTCGAAACTGCAAAGTGTATCAAGTTTATGTAGTTGGTAATAAATTTCCAAAGCTTTGAACATTTCACATAGAATTTTAAAGAATCTATAAAAGCACGGATTTCTAAACGATGTTTTAATAGCATAGCCATTTTCTGGATAACTCAGACTTTTGTCAGGTGGGCATGACACAAGATACTTTACTCCTAATGGCACTTTTCACCGCGCTTTCTAACCCGCTCGACTCGCATATTTTGCTTATTTACTGATGATTTGCCATCGTTATCGATCATTTTGTTTGACTCCTGTTACGTGTTGGGTACTATTTGTTCTAGATGCCTGGCTTATAAAAGCCCCTGCCTTCACGGAGCTGACATTCTTTTAAAGGATGCAGAAAAGAAAATAAGTAAATTACTTACCTTGTTAGAAAGTGGTGACCCATCAAACAGCGAGATAAGGGTAATTGAGATTTCCTGAGTGGATATTTTAAATATGAGGCTACTGTAGGCCTACAAGGTCCTATACTTGAAGGAATTAAGAGGACTAAGTAGGTATGTGAGACAGAGCATTTCTGGTTGAAAGAACAGCATCTACAGAAGCTTACATAGGCAGGTCTATGTCTCATATTTAGCGAATAAATATCCATTGTGATTGTTGTACTAATCAGAAGGGTGAGAACAAGGGCAATGAATGGTAGTAAGGTTGGAGTAACAGGTGGCCAGGTTATTTTAAGGGTTCAGAATACAAGCCTTTCTTTTGAGCAGAAAAGGGATGTCTTCTAGCCTATGATTTAAAAGCCCATTTGAGTCAGAGTGGAGGTGGCATTGTGGAAGCAGGGGAATTAGTTAGGAAACTATTTCAATAATCCAAATAACAAATGATAGTGGCACAGACCAGAGTGATAGCAGTGTAAAATGTGAAAGTTGTTTGGATTCTAAATGCACCTGGAAGGTCGAGTTTACAGGTTTTCCTTGGGATTGGATGTGGAATTGAGAAAAGGGGAAAAGGATTATGCCTAACCCATACAAGTTACTTCAACTAAGATGAGAAAGATAACAACTAATGATGTTAACTTGCTAGGCAGTTGGATTCAGAAGTGTTCAGGGAAGAAGTATGCAAGTGTATAAATATGGAAATCAGCAGCAGTGGCATTTGAAGTTATGAGATAGAATGTTATCACTAGGAGTTAAGTGTAGCTGGAAAGCAGCAGAGTCAAAGATGGTGTCTTATGACACTGTTTTGAAAGAAAAGGATCAACCAGCAAATGATATTCAGAAGGTTGAACTACAGAGTTAAAAGAAAACCCAAATAGTGTGATGTCTCAGCTATGTGATATCTCAGCTAATTCAAGATCCTTCATCAAATAGGAGAGAGCAAATCACCTGTATCAAATACTCAAGTCTGATGAGGACTGAAAATTGAAGATTAGATTCAGCAGTGCCATCTGATTTCATTTTAGTTCTAGGGGCAAAAACTTATATATAATGGCAGAACATTATATATAATATTCTGAACATATAATACAGAACATATAATACAGATTGAAAAGTTCTATTTAAATAAGAGTGTGGATAGTTTGGCTATAGTGACAAGCAGGGAGACTGAGTATGTGGAATTAGATATTGGTAGGTGATTAGATGCAGAGGTACTGAAATTTGGAATCTGGCGTTTTCGTTGCTTCAGTTTCCTCAATAAAATAGGAAACTTTGTATCACTGAAATACAGTAATATTTGATATATAAAATATATTTCACATGTAACAATATTTTGACATACCACCAAGTTACTTATTCACTAACATATATGTTGAAAAGTACAATATGCTGCATAATGAATACATAACTGCGCAAAGTATCTTCATGAATCATTCATTTTAGCAGATAGAAACAAAATAAGCAAGTATGTGTCAGCTCAATGGTATGAATGCAAATATGATATAGGGGAAGGTAGGGGGTTCTTTTTTATTGGTTGGTAGCAATACTTTGGAGCTAGGATTCTTCCATTTGGATGTACTGAATAAAAGAGAGATGGTTTGACTTAAGTTTTTAAAAGCTCTGGGGACAGGGGTGGGTTAGGAAAGGGTAGAAAAAGGGAGACTGCTTACTGGGTTGTCACAGTAAGTGACAACTAATGGTACCTTTTTTTCTTTTTTTTTTTTTTTTAAGATTTTATTTACTTGTGCATACAGAGCTAGGGTACAGGCCAGAGGTGCAGGGGCGGTAAAAGGATCCATCAGAGACAGAGTGGGGACCAGAACAGGCAGATCCAACGAAGTACACTGTTGAGGGGAGCAGCAGGCTGGTCAGGAGAGGCCTGCCACGCCATGTGAGCCACTCCGGGGCAGGCGGGGATCGAACTCATGCAGAACTGGCCTTAGCTCCTTAGTGTTGTGCTTTAACCTGCTGTACCCCCAGGAAAGGCCTAATGGTGCATTTTAATGCTAGCAGTGGAAATGGTAAAAGTCATAGGATTCTGGCTATAGTTTAGAAGGAAGAGCTGATAAGATGGACTGACAGATTAGATATAGAGTAAAAAACCTTAATACTCAAAATAAGGTTTTCAAGCCATTTTATTGGATGAGATTTAACTGTTTAATGAGGTAGGCAAATTGAAGGCGGAACAGGTTTTAAGGGATAGTATTGTTACCGAACGCAGGTCTCCGTTTCCCTCAGCCAATAAAAGGAAACAGAGTTTGAGGAAAAGGAAAGTGGTTTTATTTGTGGACAAATGAGGAGGGCAGCAGACTAAGGTCAGAAAGACCACCATCCTGCTCTTTGGCAAGTTACAGGGCTATTTATACAGTGTTTAACAAAGAAAAGGGGAGGTGGGTGAGCGTCCACAAAGGGGAGGGAGTAAAAGTTGGTGCTGGGATGGAGACCAGTGGGCACCAGCCTTTATTTACACAAAGACAAACAAAAATGGGGAATCAGCAAGAGTAATTGGGAGGGAGCAGGAGGCTGCACAGGGAGGAAGAGAAGTCAAGCAAGCTTTCCCACCATTTGCTTTTGTTTGGGATTCCTTTCCTTGAACCTAAACCTGTCAAGGAAGAGGAACTGCAAGGAAAACAAACTCACAATCAATTAAGAGCTCTGGGAAAACCAATTCTGTCATAAATTTGTCAAAGAAGGCAAATCCACAAATGCTTATCTGAGAGCCCATTTGTTGTATCAGTATCAAGAATTTGATTTCTAGCAAATTTGAGCTACTTACTTACTTTTTCCAGCCTTTGTCAAGGAGACAATTTTATATATGATTACAAGAAAAGAAGTCAGAACTAAGCATAAATTGGTAAGTCCTCAACATAAATGTATTTAAAGCTGTAAACTTGAATGAAATAAGCAATAGACTAAAACATAAAGAGAAAACATGAGACGCCCTAGGTACTAAAATAGTTAAAAGTCATCAAGTTGTTGAGGAAAACCAGAAATACAGTAGTATCCAATGAAGTAGAAGGAAACACTGAGGGTAGGGTCCCAAAAGCCAAAGAAAAGGTTTTATAATTTAGAAATAATTCCTTATCCAGTGCTCACAAGATGTGTAATATGAAAACCAAACAGTGACCATTACTTTTGCTGTTTTACCTCATGATTACTCTTTGAATTTATCTCCTCTGTCCACCTCTAAACTGAAAGTTCTTCGAGGTAAAGAATCTTACACATGACATGTATAAAAGTTTGTAAATATTTGTCACATTTGCTAATGCCACCCTCATTGAGCCCTCATCCCTCATCTCTTTCTGATAATGCTTTTAAGTACATTCTTCATATTGCTGTCCATTTGCCTGACCTTTCCTGGCCTATAATGTTTCATGCTTTCCCCATTCATACTGTAATACTTGACATCTCTCCTCATGGAACCGTGCAAGCCATGCATTTCGTATTTTTCAGCCTTATCTCCTATACTTCCAATTGATACTTACCCTAATAATACAGAGCAGTATAAAGATCTCTCCATGGACCATTTAATTTCATCCTTCTGTGACTTTACTCATTTTATCTGTCTAGGGTGATTTCCTTCCTTTGCTTGGTTAGTCTAGTTTGAAGAATTAAGAAGCTTTTGTCATTATATTAGGTGACTTTTAAATTACCTTGTATTTTATTTCACTGTGAAAGCTTTTTAAGTTGAGATAATCCAATCCCTGTTTGCTTTTGTTTTTAATGACTTAGCTGGAGAGGAAACATTACCAAATACCTCTTTAGTACTTTAGATGTCGAGGAATGTATCAATATTTTCTTTTATGTATTTTATTGTTGCAGGTATTATTGCTAAATCTTTTATCCATATTTGTGTGTGTGTGTGTGTGTGTGTGGTGTTATTAGGAAGTATTCCAACTTCATTTTTGCGACTCTGGTTTTCCAATTTTCCCTATACCATTTATTAAAGAGATTGTCCTTTCTCCATTGTACAGTTACTGCTGCTTTAGTGTATTCTTAACCTTTTAAGTCGGGAGAGCTTTGGATTATGTGGGTCTATATGGAAATGAATATGAAATGTTCATTATTGCTTCCAATAGAAGAAATACAAGTTAAAATTACAAAGAGATTTGGTCCAATGCTTTTTAAAATGCCATTGAGATTTTTATTGGGAT